TGTAAAATATCAACTGTATCTTACCTCAGGCATAATGCTTAACTAACCAAACTTAGGGGGTCATTCAGTTTTTATGAAACAAACAGCAAAATAATGCCAAATATATCATTTTTAGTATTAAAATTCTGAAGTTATTCTGTAGTTGATATCACCTCAAAAAACCCCCAGTACATTTCAGGTAACTGCTTTGCACCTGCTCAGTTTGAACACATGTCCTTTAATGAACCAGCACCCACATGCATTCAACAAATAGTTACATCATCATCGTCTTGCTGATATTTCACTGGTTCAACACCTCCGGGTTTGCAGATTAACACGTTTTTTCCTCCATGCTGCACACAGCCCACCTTCCCCCACTGCTTTCAGGTAGTTTATTATACTGAGGTGTGTGTGTGTGTGTGTGTGTGTGTGTGTGTGTGTGTGTGTGTGTGTGTGTGTGTGTGTGTGTGTGTGTGTGTGTGTGTGTGTGTGTGTGTGTGGGTGGGTGTGGGTGTGGGTGTGTGGGTGTGTGTGAGAGAATATTGTGTATATACAGTATGTGTGTGCATGTGTGTACTTTTGACTGTGGCAGTTATTTTTAACTTCTGTCTGCTAGGACGAGTGCGCTTTCTCCTTGGCTGATTGTGTGCGGAGGCCCTGAGGGAATGTGTGTGTTTCTGTTCAGTCCTCTGTGTGTGTGTGTGTGTGTGTGTGTGTGTGTGTGTGTGTGTGTGTTTTCTGTTTGGTTACTCCCAGTGGACCACAGGCATGTTGGGGTGGTGGATGCTACTGCTCGGTCACTCATCATGCATCATTACTAAATCATACGTCCTACCCTGCTCCCACGATGACGCCACAAAAACACTATTAAGGTCACGCTTTTACGAAAATAGACCAGATAGAGGCTAAATCAAACCCTAAACTTTACTCCGAATGGTTCCCCTGTTTTGAAGGGGAAGCTCAGCTCAAACCAGCTTGTTTAGTACAATGTTGTTTAAAGCTGCTCCCCGACCTTTTAGGAGGGTATGTTGTTGTGTTTCTATGTAGGTGTGATAGAAAATGGGTCACAAACTGAGCTTTTTTTTCTGGAAAGCCAGGTTGTCCTGGTTACAGCTCAGTTGAACCGATAAATCATATTGTTAAGTTGCAGCCATGGTGGCTCCTCGGGCTCCTCGCTGTTGTTTCATGGCCTCCAAGCAATCCTCGAGAGCAAGTTTTTATTTTCCTTAGATTCTGAGAGAAATGGCGCTGCGTGCTTTCATTGTTACCTCACATGATCTCCTCCATCAGAGCGACTACTACTACGACACCAAGGTGGTACTGGAGCAGCAATGACAGAAAAATTCTAGATATCCTCAGACAGCATAATGATACAGACATGGTTTGGTTAAAGCTCCAGGAAATCAACAAATTAACAAATTGATTGACATTTTGACAGTTTAGCAACTATCTTGATATGCAATTATTCCTTTAAGTAATTCAAGTAGGGAAAAAAGTCCAGAAATTCACTGGTATTATATTAAACAAAAAAAAACCTGGGTTTTGGTTGGATAAACGACGCAATTTGATCATGTCAACGACAAAATAATGACAATAATAACACTATAATAATAGTGTAATGCACATTGTCAAATACCTGGGCAAAACTTTTCTTGCACAATTATCTTTTTCTCTCTTTAAAATGTTATTGATGTGGGGAATTGCATGTGAATGTTGCTCATTTTGAATAAAATCGATAATTTACAACATAATTTCTGGAGTTTGGATGTTGCACAGCACAAAATTCTTGTTTAAGATGCCGAAAATTACTTTCCTCATGTACCAGAGTACACTGTGGCCAATGTGGCTGTTTTCAAATTCTTTTTAGGTATTGTACAGAGTTATTGTAGTCCTCGACATGTAGAAAATGAGTGAAAAGGTAGTTGTGGAAAAGAAAAGGAAAGAAATTAACCGCTGAAAAGTAAGAAGAATTGATGTAAAGTAGAAGAGGAAAAGCTTTTCAGTCAGAGAGAGAGAGAGAGAGAGAGAGAGAGAGAGAGAGAGAGAGAGAGAGACTGGGTGTATGGGAATATTGAGCCACAAAGCATTTATGTCAGATCAAAGCTAATCCTTATCTTTGGGAAAAGGATTCAGTAATACCCTGGGCTGTCTCGCCCCCTCAAGGGCAGGTTTTCTTTCTGTGCTTCCTGTGCTCGTATTCGTCTCTCCTCACTTCTCCATAAAACTGCCGGGATTTTTCTGCACTTTCCCTCGACTTTGACTCGGTAACGGTGTGGAGAAAGTAGGTCAGTCGGGGAGTCCACAGCCAGGAGGCAGGAGGAGTGGAGGGGGTCTGGCCTCCGGACCTGGCCGGGAAGGGAGGGTTTTTGCCCGAGGGGCTGGTGGCGCTGCTGCTGAGGGCAAAGGAAGGAGACATGATGCTGACGACAACAGATAGGTTGACTTGACTGTAACAGACTAACGAGGACTTCCTGTGCTGGAGCATTTTAGGCTGTGAGAACAACCTGGTTTTCTTTACTGTCTGAGGCAAAAGTGTTTGACCACTTGTCCCATAAAACAGCATTCTCAGGTTACTTGCTGTGGTATCTAACTCGAAACGTGACTTTTCGCCTTGATGAGGCATCTTGGTTTGGTTTACAGTAAGATTCAGTTACATGAAATTGGATCAGTTGAAAGATTTGTATTCATTAAGCCATGCAGACAGCCAGGTGGGCACAAAACTGCAAATATTATATAATCTTTCCTGGCAAAGCTTTCAAAATGTCAGTCTTTAACTAAACTCAGCTCAAGGTTTTGTCACCCATTCTTCTGCTTTGATAGACTGCTGTTAAATTAATGTGAACATGTAATATGTAACAGTATAATCCAATTATTCTTTTGTTCTTTGTGGTCCTTCTTAAAAGAATTTAAACCGTATAAAAGAAAAAGATTCTGCAGTGATGCTTCTGATACCTCAACTCAAAGATATACCAGTTACTAATTTGACACCACTGTTTGCCTTTTCCCAAATATAAAATCTGTGTACCGCACTGCGTGTAATCTGTAGGCAAGTGTCTGCATTCATTTGCAGATATCTCAGAGGTGCATCCCTAAAAACTAAAGAGAACCACTAATGGTTTGGAAAGTAGGTCATCCATTTGGAAACAGTTCAGATTAGAATCGCTGCTCCTTAATTCTGAAAGAAAAGTTGGCTCACGAATCTGATCAGTATGCCTCCAGGACGCCTCCCAAGCAGGTATTCTGGTCGGGGGAACCTGGAGGAAACCCGAGGGCAGACCCAGAACATGTTGGAGGGATTATGTATCCCATGTGGCCTGGGAATGCCTTAGTACCCCCCCCCCCCCCCCACCCCACCCCTCAGGAAAGCTGGAGGACGTAGCTTTGGACAAGGTCGTCCTGGATACCTTGTTTGGTCTTCTGCATTGACGTCCAAGACCTAGATATTGATGGATGGATCGATGAAATGTTTTCAAAAAGGATTCTGGTTTGATAAGCAGAATCTATGTGGGATTTAAATTCGATAAAAATGCTATCAAATCCTAATCCTTGTCCTGCCGCAGTTATTTACGGCCGCCCAAGGTTAAATGTGATCATCCTCTCTCCTCCAAATGAACCAAACTAAAGGACTCGAGACTGAACAAACTGCTCCAAGCATGCCTTGTGTGAACACGCTCTTATCTGTCATTGCCACGTTGGTGTCCCCACAGGGCGCTATGAGCAGTTTAATTGCCTGAGATCTTGTTTTTGATATAGGACTGAGATGTACGGTGTTGCAGGGCAATCAGTGGTCACCTTTTTCCATTTCTATCACCACTTTCCTCTCCTACTCTCCCCCTCCATCTGTCTCACTCCTCATTCTAGCTGTCTACCCACAGTCGTGCCCGGAGGGACACCGGCTCTGTTGAGATGGCAGCGGAGACAAAGAGAAAGAAAAAAAATCTAGTCGTCTTCTCTCCGCAGTTTTCACACTTGACAATTTGGGCAAAAAATAAAAGAAAAAGTCGTCAGGGCCCTGTTTGGTATTCATTGTTTCCTTGGTGCTATTTTGACAGGGTTTAATCATCTGTAAAAGTAAACTATCACAGCTTCCGCATGGATTAACACAGTAGACGTGATTATGCAAGAGGAGTAGGCGGAGGAAGAAATTGCTTATGGAGTCTGTGGCCTGAAGGAGACAGTTGAAAGAATTAACCATACTTAACACAGATACTAAGGCAAAGGGTCTCATGAACTTGCCCCTTCTGCAGTCAGCTGGAGGCTGATGTGTATAATGTTTGCTGTACATAATAATGACTCTTTATCATCCATTATGTTATTTGACCATTGCATTCCCCTCATTCAGGGCTGTATCTTTGCTCCCTGCTGAGGGATCACTCGTCTGTAAAGTGCAATTTGTTCCTCTTAGTGAATGTTCGGGATGTTTGGCATCATTTATAGTATTCAAAGAACCAAACCAAACATGTTGGCAAGTTTTAGCTCTTTAAATACAAATTATGTGTACTTATGTTTGCTGAATATTTATAAAAGCTCAGTGGGGCTGCTGTGTGTAACACTGTACTTCATAAACATCTGAAACTCATATGGTCCTTTGAGATGTACTATGCAGGTTAGGAATAGGGTAGAAGATATGGTTTTTGAGGAAAAGGTTCAAGTTACGCTTGGTACAGTGGTGGTGAAGGTTGTGATTGCAGGGTTGTAGAGAGATGGAGTTGGTTTTAGGGTGATACCAATCCATCGCAATCAGAGAAAGTGAAGAACCTGTTGCACCTAATTTTTTGGAAACCTGTATTTCTCTCATCATTAATAGAGTGGTCTAGATTTGTTTAGATGGTTTGAGCTTTCTTTTAAGGCTGCTACTTTCCTTACCAATGGTTACACTTTATACGATACTACTTTTTGCATATTAACTTGTTCACATCAAAGCTCAATTTCTCACCAACATAAGCACCAAGGTACTTAAAGCTCTAACCGTTGCTGCCCTTCATTGTCTCATCAATGCTTTCTCCCTTCTTCTGTTGCAGGATGAACGACCATGTTGCCAAGGAGCTGTGACAGCACTGTGAAGTTGTGGACGGTGGTGAAACATCAAGTATCGGAGCCACTTTCTTAGCTTCACTTGGAGTTGTGCAACCTTTCTGCAAGACCTGTTTGACTTACCTTCTCTGAAACAATTACAGTGAATATAATAAGGGACCACCTTGCCATCTTGAAAAAAAAAATAAATAATGGAGACTCTTTCCCAAGATTCGATTCTGGAGTGCCAGATCTGCTTTAACTACTACAGCCCCCGCCGGCGGCCCAAACTCCTGGATTGCAGACACACGTGCTGCTCGGTGTGTTTGACCCAGATGCGCAGCAGCCAGAAGGAGATTCGTTGTCCATGGTGCCGTGGCGTCACCAAGCTCCCTCCGGGTCTGTCCGTCTCCCAACTCCCAGATGACCCGGACATCATCACTGTCATCGCCATCCCTCACGCCTCTGAGCACACGCCCGTCTTTATCCGCCTCCCCAGCAACGGCTGCTACATGCTGCCACTGCCCATCGCCAAGGAGCGGGCGCTCGGCCTGCCTGGGGAGCTTGGATGTCGTTTCCTGCCTGGCAGCCAGCAGAAGGGGGTGACGGTGGTGACCGTGCCCGAGCAGCAGCCTCTGGGCCTAGGTATGGCTCTGGAGGGTGTGGGGGTGGGGCTGGAGGGTGTCGAGGGAGAGAGGAGAGTTACTGGCCCGGTGGGAGGTGGTGGGAAGGGCTCCACGTGGTCCGGCGTGTGCACGGTGATCCTGGTGGCGTGCGTGCTGCTCTTCCTCCTGGGCATCGTGCTGCACAACATGTCCTGCATCTCCAAACGCTTCACTGTCATCTCCTGCGGCTGAGGGCGAGGGGAGGCTGCTCGGACTGCCACGGACCCCCCCTGGATTCCCCCTCTAGCCCTGCCTCTCCTCAGAGCGGGACTCTGCTGAGGAGAGGGGACTAAACTCACATCATGGGCATCTAAGGAAACTACAGAGCAACGTAGAGAGAAACCGATGAAGAAGAAGAAGAGAACGGGGAGGAGATCCACAAACAGTCTGCCATTGTGTCCCATCTTTTTTTATTTGGGAGACTGAAATTAAAATGGAAATACAGATACAATCCTTGTCCAATAGCAGTCTGCCGGCCCTGAAAATCCCATCCCTTTTCCCATCCTTTCATTTTCTCCGAAAAAAGAACGCTTTTGGGAATTACTCCAGTTATGTTTTTGGCCCGCTGATTTGTTTTTTGGCCAGCTGATATGTTTTTTGGCGAAGGGCCGATTTGACACTCGCACTCACGGCCGTTGGATTGCCTGTTTAGTCTGTGGTTTGTAGAAGTACATCAGTTATCATAGTGTTGTTTAGCTGAGTGTAGGTTCCAAGTGCGGTGTCTCCAGCCGGTGCTGCAGTACAAAGAGTTCGGACTTGGCTGCTCTCCGTTCTCTGATGCTGCAGGACTTAACTGTGCAGGATCCACGTCTGGCTGCTTTTTGAATCATCAACACAGGGTTCATTCTCTCTCTCTTTTTTTTTTTATTCCTTTCACACAACCTGTTTCCTGTTCAGAACGAACTGTTGCTATGATGGCTCCATGTGGTTAGTGGTTATAACGCCAAAACATGGATTGTATTATGTTCATTCATGCCAGCATATTACAGGTCTAAACTAAAAACACAGCTACTAATGAGTTGCTTTATTAAGGCTTAAACGTTGGGATTTTTGCTGAAATGATTAGTCAATTAAGAGTTTGGTTGGTAAATAAATGATTTATCATTTATGACTTTTATCAAGCAATCAAGTTTTTTCTGTTTTGTATCATTGTAATTGGGTTTTGGACTGTTGGACACCTTGGGCTCTCAAAACTTGGTCACTTTCTCATTGTACTAAATGTTTAATCTTTATTATCACTAGTCGCTGTCCTATTTTGAATATGATGGGAAACTTTGTGTAGCCAAGGATGCTAGCTTCCAAAAATGTACAGGCTAGGTGATAAAACAAAGAAATTGCTCAAAATACTGTATTTCTACTCAGAATTTGGTGACAGAATAACCAACGAATAGTTCGACATTTTGGGAAATACGTTAATTTTGCATTCTGTCCGAGAGTTAGGTCAATACCTCTCTAATGTCTGTGCGTTAAGTTCGACTCTAGAGCCAGAGGGTGATTAGCTTAGCATAGCATCCATTGTAAGCAGGTAGAAACAGTTAGCTTAGCTCTGTCTCATGTTAAGACACTTTATCATCACTTCTAAAGCCCACTTATAAACATGTCTTATCGTGTTTGTTTAATCTGTACAAACAGAAATGTAATGTCATGCCAGGCACTTCATGCTATGTGAGTTACAGCTCATAAACCCACAACTTTATATTTAAAAATGTGTTTGTACAGGTTGAACAAACAGGATAAAACGTGTTGCAGTAGTTTTAGTTTTGAAGATAATCTGGCTCTAGCTCTGCATATGTAAACTGGTATTGATCTCCAACTCTCGGCGAGAAAGCCAATCAGCGCCATGTCAAACAAGTTGTTTAAATGAACATTCAAAATTGGATATTCAAGGCAACATTCTTGTTTTTTAGTGTTTATTCTGCAGTGCATCCATTTTTTTTTTTTTATTTCCCACGGATGCTAACAGTTTGTTGTTATCTTCCATCGATTAGTCAACCGTCCATCTACTTTTCCCCCTGACCTGCAGACCACCACCGACTCTCCAGCTTTGACCGGGCTCTTCACCGACAGCCCACGCACACACACTATCGACTCCCCTTCATCTTAATACCTTCCTTAATTTAGAAAACTGGTGGATACGGGCTCAACAGTGCGATGGTGTGTGTTTTATGTGTGTGAGTAATGGGTCAGCAGCGGGTCAAGGAGTGGGCGGACCGTGCAGGGTTCCAGTTAATTACGACTGTATCGATTTATCTGCTTTTTTGAATATCTCTCGCATCCGCAGAGATGGATGTTTTCTCTTTCTTTTCACTTTTATATGTTGAGGCAAGCAATTTGTCTGTTTACTGTATCGTTTCAAGCAATGGCGTGTACAGTACACGCAAACAGGGTGAACTCTTTTTGTATAGCAGCCTCGTCATGTACAGAATGATTGTAATTTCCTTGTCTTTTTCTGATAACTTTTATTTTTTGTTGACATGTTTTACTCGGTTTGTTTTAAGAGTCTGATGTGAGATTAGGGAACTTGTGCTTGCTCCAAGAGAAACAAGTTATTCAGTACACTTCAAGGCACTCAGAGTTATGATGACACACCAGTGACACAACATAAGGAAATAAAGTTTTGGTGTTTAGTATATAAAGAATTATATACTGTACCAAAATGTTATATATATATATAAATACGTATATCCACTTGTTCACTTAAAAACAAGTCCTAGACATCTAAACTATGGATGATCCAGTCACTGGAGGTTAAAAAGGTGACTTTTCCCTTATGAATTACAAGAATATTTACATATCAGCATGATTTTACAGTTTTAAATCAAACTCTGAGATCTCTATTGAACAGTAAATGTCTTTAAAAATGAGCAAAAGTCTTTGATTTTGTTCAAACTTAATTAATTTTTATTTTGCATCTCATTATATTACGATTTCACCCCCTTTCACCACAGAAAAGTCTTGAGATTCCTTCCCTGTTAAATAGACTTTGGACATTCAAATCAGACTTAAATGGATTAAATCAAAAACAGCCATTATGCAGCTCAAGGCTTCGTGCACAGGAATATTCTGTTATGAAAGCGTTCGGGCTACAATAGGGCAACTATTTGTTTTGCAAATGCAGTGAGAAACGCAGTCGAGGTTCAGCTGAACTTGTTCACGTGGGACACGCTGCTGGTTGCAGCTCCTGTTGTTGCAGCTCCTGTTGTTGCTATGAGACTGTACAGAAAGCCCTTTTGAAGTGCAGCGCTATATATTTTATATATTTTTAGCTCCGAGGACTCTGCGCTCGGTGGAATTAAAAAAAAAAAGTGTTAATTTCTCAGCATGATGTCTTTTTTAAAGGGGAATCTTGATAAAGAAGTTTTTAATAAGGCATACTTTGTTATTATTGGTTAATGAATTATTACTTAATGCTTTATAAATCACTTATGAACCATTTATACAAACCTTTACTGTAGGTTGAAAAAAAATAAATAAATAGCTGTTGCTGTTTCTCGTCCACCATGTTTCCTTATCAAACACTTTAAATCATAAATAGAACTGGCTAACTCAACCCAAAAGTTGTCATTAATGCATTATTATTGATCTATAAAGCATTAATAACCATTCATACGGATATTTCATGTACTTTATACCTTATTAGAAAGTAGTACTAAGAAATCACTGAGATCACCCAAATTACAAAAGAAAATCCCACATTTTCTGTATTTAGCCATACAGATAAATTAAAAGTAATAAATATAATGTAGGGATTTAAGTTTTGATGCTTCAAATATGGAAAGAAATACAGCCAAGAGCAACACTTCTTTCATTTCTGTGTAAAAGCCCTAACTTAATCAGAGTAACAGGGGGTCTAGAAAGAGCTGAAACTCGATTTATCTCCAAATCTGTACAAATTAAACCAACACTATCTGCACAGCTCGATACCACGTGGTGTAAAAGGAAGTGCAAAAAGTTGCTTTTTAGTAATTTGGGTGAACCGGGCCTTTAATATTCGGTCTATGCAGCCACTTTGGGTCTCATCAGCTCATTCTGTTTAGCAAATATTAGCCTGTTAGCTTTAAAAATGCCTGATTATTACTTTTATTAACCACAATTTCACACTAAAATGAACATTGGTTACATTTTAAAGACTTTCTTGCTGAATCCTCATGTTGTTTTCTGGTTCTTTTAGCTTTATTCTGCTCATTTTTTCCAATTGGTCTGATGACCGGATGTGGTTGCTAGGAGATTTCTGGCACAAAGCCTCGATATCGGCTGTGGATCTTACGCTTTCACGACGGTCCCCTCCAAGTCACTGGATCATCATGTAACCCAAACACTGCAAAAAACCCATCTGTCTTATTTAACTTAAAAGAGGAAAGTAAAATGCAGTTCCTGATTTTGGGGGATTTTGGAGCTATAAAACATGAATGTAGGAGAAAACTGTAGCTGCAGTAACTGGTTAAACTGGAGATTTTTTGCAGGAAACAGAAACTCAAACCAGTATGAACAGCCCTAACATGCTCTTGGTGATTATCCACACACCAGGTTGACTCCATTCATGATAAATGAACCTGTCTTTAGTCCTTTCCCTCTGCCAATCCATCATGAATGAGGCACTGCACGTGATGTAACGCCTGGGGGGGTTAGAGAAACAAATGCACCTCTTTTATTCTTTTTTTTCCTACACAATTATAGTGTCTGTATAGTGATAATATATGAGATTATTGATCTGAAGACGGTGAAATCCCATTATTATTTGAATGCAAACACTGTAAAATGCTGTCATGCACAAAACCAAGGATACACACAAGGTTATTCAGATATCGATCAGCCATTTTGGTTGTTGTGTTTCATATTTTTTCCTGTTAAACAAAGATCAGTATGGGTGAAACCGAATATTTTATATCAATCTGATCTTTAACATAAAGCTCTGTTCCCATTCATCATTTATTCTGTGATTTGCCTCTGACTCTCCTTCCTGTCCTATGTAATATCTGTTTTTATTTTCCTCAAATGGAAAACTGCCCTGAATTTTTACAGAAACTTAAAAGAGTGACGACTAGAGAAGCGTAGAAAGGAGGCTTGTCATTTCTGTGCCTGTGTGTTTGTAAAATGCCGTGAAGTTCCTGTTGTAGTTTCCTGTTTGTGTCAGGTCGATGACGGCTGACCACGCAAGCAGCAGCTGTTTTTGGTGAACTATTAAAGCAAATGCTCTGAATCTGAGACTCCTGTGCTCTTCATTTTGAAATTAAATGTTTTATTTGGCAGCTTATGGACCCTTTATTGTTCAGCTTTAACATAAGTATCCATTTGTAGAGAAATACTTCTTGACATTTATTGCTTGAAATGTCTCTGTCTTTAAAGAAATTGCCTCCATAGAGATATATATAAAGCTTATTCCTTATAGCTTTATTTATCGAAGTCCCATATTTCGTGGTTGAGTGAACTTGGCTCTCCTTGTTTACCCTCAGGAACCTCTTTTTCTCCTCAAATATTTATTGATATAGCGAGGGAGGTAATTAACGCTCTCCTGGGACCAATTGCAGCCGGCTCTGCCGCAGCGAAACACCTCCATTCCTCGCAGGCAGCCGCTAATGATGACCACGCTCTTCATGTACTGCACAGCGACAACCGGCCATCTCTGCTCACTCCTAATGATGTGTTCTTTACTTTAATGACCACAGAATAGGGTTTTTCAAGTGCATCAATTATCCTTGGAAAAGTAGGAACTATATATATTTGCAAAAGGTTGTTCTGTTAGTTACTTCATTTGCTCTTGTGAATAGAAACTTGATTTAAAAAAAAAGACAAAAAGATGAATATTGAAAGACACATTACCTGTTTTTAGGGCTTAAACTTGTGGTCTTTTGTCGTGAGGAGACTCGTCCTCAGCTATTGGCTAAACAATCTCACCACAAAAGGCAATTTAGTGGCTTGTCTGGACCTTCTGACTGACTCACACATTCTTCTTTGCAGACTGAATTGGCCCAATTATCATGGAACTGTAGACATTTAAATTTCCATTATTCAAGGAGTTGTGTGTATGTTGGCATAAAAGCTGAAAAGTACTTAGTGACACAAGCTACTAGATGGTTAAGCCTGTAGAAGAAGGGCTAGAAGACGACAAAACATTTCAATTTAGCAACATTCAAGTTCTAATCCATAAGACTTCCATGAAATCAAACCCCATTTTTGATACTATTTACTGTATAATCTGCATTTTTTCAGCCACTCAAAGTGTTGACATTCAGTATCTGTCTATAATATATAGTCATTTAGATTGGTAGTCCTGCACTGGATTCAGAAGCACAAGGGATTCATAGGAAACACTGCATGCGTGCAGTCTTAAAATGTCTTTTGTTAACACTTTGTTTTGCTTCTTGTAATTTCCTGTAAAGGACCTGATATGTAACAGGACACAGCAACAGATAAATTTGATACTGATTATAATGAAAATGGACACACTTCCAATTGATTAATTCCATTGAACTGCTAGATAGTCTCACAGTCAGTTGTCAAGATTTTAGTCGTTCTTTTTCTCTTCAAATCAATGACTCCTAACTGTGTCAACATTGCTCACACGTTCCTTATAATGTGTGCTCTTTGTGGGAAATTCCTATTAAAATACCTCTAAAATTAGTTTATTGTATAAGAATGTATGATGTTCTTTTGACTCCACTACATTTGTCTGATAGCTGATTTTTCACACAAAACATACAGTGAGACTAATATTTCAAGTGACATGAGATAGAAATTCTCAATTTAAAGAGGTCTTAAGAGGTAAAACTATCACGTAATTCAAGCCAAGTCATGTCAATGGTTTCAATAAAGAGAGACAGAAATTTGTCTCAGAGGGTGTCATGATCTACACATCATGTGACAATGTCTATGTCTCAATCTGAATGAATAGGGGATAACCTCATGAATTCAATTCAATTTTATTTGTATAGCGCCAATTCATAACAGAAGTTATCTCAGGACACTTTTCAAATAGAGCAGGTCTAGACCGAACTCTTTATAACATTATTTACAGAGACCCAACAGTACCACCATGAGCAAGCACTTGGCGACAAGGGCAAGGAAAAACTGCCTGTTAAAAGGCAGAAACCTAGGACAGATCCTCCGGCTCAAGGTGGGTGGTCGTCTGTCTCGACCAGTTGGGGTGAGAGAGAGAGAGACAGAGAGAGGCAGAGAGAGAGAGAGAGCGAGAGACAGACAGACAGGTGCACAGCAACAACAGTATTGGCAATGGCAATCTAGCAGGACCATGGCAGGAGGCTCCACCAGGATCCATGAGAACCTGCGAGACGAGAAAGCACAAGAACTCCGGGGAAGAAGTGAAGTTAGTAACATACATTAATGGGACATGAATGAGTGCAGAAAGAGAGAGGAAGAGAGGAGCTCAGTGCACCATGGGAAATCCCCCGAAAGTCTAGGCCTATAGCAGCATAACTAAGGGATGGTTCAGGACTCACCTGATCCAGCCCTAACTATAAGCTTTATCAAAGAGGAATGTCTTAAGCCTACTCTTGAATGTGGTGAGGGTGTCTGCCTCCCGAACCACAAACGGAAGCTGGTTCCACAGGATGAAGAGCAACAGGAGGGACATTTAGAGTAGACTGTATTTGCAGTAGTAGAATAACAATATGTACAGTTTAATAAGTTAAAATAAGTCACAGTAAATAGTCTGACAAACTAAATACTTATTATTTCACTACGACACCCACCATTTTCCTTTGCCTCTCTATCTGCTGACTGATGTTTACGCTTTATTGAATCCACTGTCAGTCAAACATTTTATTTCCTTTACAAATGTCAGTATAGCTGTCCTGTTTCTGTTGCTACTAGCTACAGTCTTCTCTGGATGGATTACCAGAGGAGAACAATAACTTGATTTTACTCCTGCACACTGGTGGAATAATGTACCTGTGAGAGGCACGGTAACTCACTGACACGCTACATAAACTCTTCCCACACAATAAAAACAAAAACAGGCAAAAACTCTCCTCAGATTTCCATATTGTTTTCATTTTCTTTAAATAACAATTTCATGCAGTCAAGGAAATAAAGTGTTATAGATCTGAAGAATCCCATAAATTCTCCAACAGCTTGTTTTTTGGGGGAAAAGTCACATCTTTGATTTGTTTCCTTTTTGATACCAGCGCCACTTATACTCCAGTATTTATCTACCTAGCAGATACATTCAAAGATCTAATATCAAATGTAACTCACTAAAGTTTTTCCAATTCTCACCTCTTTGGCTAATCATTGGCATGTTTTATTCAAGTCTGAAATTCCAGCTTCCTCTCTGGAACAGTATTAAATGCCAGGTTTGTCACTGGAACTATTTTCTTGTATCACTCACTATAGCATTACGCGAGCGCTCTCCAGGATGTATCATGGATTCTTGGCACAAGCTTTGGAGACTGTCATCTGTTTAAGCCTGGCAGTAGAGGAGACTTCTTTTCCTTATGCTGGAAAAAAAACAGAAAAAAAGTTATGGTTCCTATTTGTAGGAGGCAGTGTTGGGTGACAGTGTGCAACGGAGTGAGTAAAAGCAATATCAATTTTTCAGAGAACACTCCTACAGTATGTCAGGCAGCTGAAAAGTTAAATATTTGAAAGGATTAGAGGACAAAGTTCTGTGTTGCAAATTTCACAAAGATGGAGGTGTACAGTATGTCGTAAAGGGAGACAGCGACTGGGAAAAGTCACTAAAGTTACAGTCTTTATCAACTAGAGCAATGTGTTCTTAATGGGAAACTATTCATGTGCAAAATACAGTACATGTACTACAGTGTTATTTAAGCCTTTATCACTTCACACGTGACATTCTGCAGAGGTTGGAGGAAGTGCTAACACCACACTGTAAATTATCTCCATTGCAAGTAAGTTGTCCTGCATTGACAATGTTATTTAAGTAAAAGTAAGAAAAATTTCCTCCGTGACGGTTATACTAATATATGATATCATTAGTTTGTTATGACTCATGTAAAAGCACGATTTTACTGTCGTAGTTGGTCGAGGTGGACGGACTCCACGGAAGGCATTTTTAGATTAAAAGTAATTCTAAGGTAACAAAAACACAACAACTCCTATATTCAGGTGATTATACACTAATGAAAACATATGTATGAATATTATATTTAATTTCTGCCAATAGATGCTCCTAAATGTTACACACCGGACCGACTTGATCAGCTTACAAAACTGAGTTAGTTTTACTTAAAATTACAATTATTTTGTAGTTAAATGAACTTATCTGGTTTTACAGTGTATATGTAAGCTACTGCCTCTTATTTGTACTTTAGAACATTACTTGACTAAATGTATTCAGTTACATTGACATTTCTCAGCTTCACAATAACTAGAAGAACTGTCATCATGTACTTAAGTAAAAGTAGTGATGCCACACAATAGAAATAAATACTTTTGTCTTGTTCAATCTATAACAGAGCATCATAGTTTGTACTATTTTTAAGTATGAAGCAGCAGAAAGTAAACACTACAGTAATAGCCCCTGCATTATTCAGTGAGAAAAAGATTTTGCACATCCACGTAGAGCAAGGTACGTCCAAGCTCTCGTTCCTGCTTCCAGTAGAGAAGCTGCAGTCGGTTGGTCTGACCCGGGACCATCACACAAATTGAAATATGACAGCCCGAGAAAATGACCCCCCAATAAGCTAGAAAATTCAGCGTACAGACGAAGAGGAAAGTCAATTCTGTTAACCCAGCAGTCGTTCCTTGGGAGTGCAGGTGTGGGTAATGACAGGTTAATTAGTATGTGTGTGTGTGTGTGTGTGTGTGTGGGGGGGGGGGGGGAGGTGGCGGCACTTGCATACATGCAACAATCATTCTTAGGTTTTCAGATGTACAAAAGGCCCTCATTTACATTTTGACGGCGTCGACCATGCAGGAGAACATTACTAATCAATCCCCCGATCAAATTCAGAAGCTAATCTTTTCTAGAGGGCGACACCTATTGAGAGCTTGATTGAGAGATCTTTACTGAACGCTTTACATTTCTGACTGAAAAAAAAAACTGCCTGTATAACTCTTTAAAAACATCATAAAGTGGAGAGAAAATGTGAAGAACAATTTGGGCTTCAGTTTTTAAAGCAGTCTTTGGGGAATTAGACCTCAAGGTCACCTTATCCTGCTGATTTGAACACCCACCAATAGCCCAGAGTTCAGTTATATGGTAATTTCAATGGTCAG